AGCTTTAATTTGCGCTTTGGAACATTAAATTTCGTCAATTCGTTCGTGAGTTATGATGCGAGGATTAAAAAGGGCGGAAAATACGTTGAAGTGAATAGGGTTAATTACTACTAATGCTATTAATTATCATTACTCGATTACAAGTTTAATATAGTCAACTTATATTGATTTTTATTGCAACTGTAAATAATCTTTCATAATAATTACGCGATACTTGAATTCGTAAATCATTCTCAGATCAATTCTCTCTCTCTCTCTCGAAGTTCGAATATACGTCTTGAGACGCATTGCCGCGGCGTATTGCCCCACCGTAGATTTTATCATCGACAGTTTTACCCTCAATGAAGCCGGTGCTATAAATAAAACGGCAAGATATATTTAATACCTATTAACGGATGACCTGTGCCTGTCTATAAACTTTTTTTTTATACGACGCTCGTTCTATCTCAGTCGTTTTACAAGCGTCACGAATCCGCATCGGTGTAAATAACACACGACGTAATCTTTTTCTCTCCTCCCCCGTGTAGACGTACGACAGCCGGCAGGTCATGGTGACCGTGTTCGTGTGCCTGTGGGGCGTGCGGCTCTCCGGATACCTCCTGTACCGAATCATCAAGATCGGCCGCGACAAGAGATTCGACGACCGACGCAGCAACGTGATCCGCTTCGCCGTGTTCTGGACATTCCAGGTGAAGTAGACAGACCGCGTGTCTCCGTATCTCGCTCGCTCGCTCGCGAGCACGCCACCCGTTTCTTCTTCGCGGGGGTATTATTGATATCGAAGGGCACGCTTTGACGGTTCGCAGGCCGTGTGGGTGTACGTCGTCAGCCTGCCTGTGATAATAATCAATTCTCCGCGCCACAAAATACCGCCCGCACCGAAGACGATGACGACACTTGACAGCGCCGGCACGGGCCTCTTCCTCATCGGCCTGCTGGCCGAGACCTACGCCGATCTGCAAAAGTTCGCTTTCAAGCAGGACCCGGTGAACAATGGAAAGTGGTGTAACGACGGTGAGATTACTCTCCGACCATGCACGTATATCCGAAAATTCTTTTGCCGAACTTCGTTAAATCCTTTATGCTGCAAGTAAAATTTTAATAAACATGTTTTGTGCGATTTCATTACTAAGACAAGCTTTGACGAAAAATATTCGTCAAACTGATTTTCATATATATTAAAAATATATATATTATTACGAGTTCTACATGTTGCTTTTTATTCAAAGATTTATGTCATTGCAACCGAAAAACGGACCTGGAAATGCTCGCCAAGAGACCCGATAAATTTCTTCGCGTCTTACTTATTGCTTGGCTGTGCTCCAATTACCTCGATAACATTATTTCTCTTTCTTTTTGCTGAAGACCGTTGTCATTTATAAGTTAACGTTTCTAGGACTTTGGAGGCTCTCCCGGCATCCAAATTATTTCGGCGAGATCGTCGTCTGGTGGGGGATATTTTTAATATCCTTAAACGTCATCGAAGGAGCAGAATGGGTCGCTATTGCATCTCCGATCTTCACGACGTTTATTATTCTATTTCTGTCAGGGATGCCGTTGTTGGAACAGGCATCGGACGAGAGATACCGGGAGTGAGTGTCGCAGAAGTGCATTGAGAATTTTTGCGAGCTTAAAAAAATAGTATTCTATCAGCAAAATTAAATATAAAATAAATATTTATTGTATGTACTAACTTATTGAGAGAAATTGGAGTTTCAACGTAATCAGAAAGACATAATAATTTAAAGATAAATAATTAAGAAGTTATTTAAATATTAATGAATGCTGATTTATGCTCTATTGTATGTTCATGCGAGTTTCGATCATTCATACTTCAACGTTATGCAAATGTTTCCAGTAACGCGGAGTATCGCTACTACAAGCAATCCACGTCGCCGTTGATACCGATACCGCCGGCTATCTACGTCGAGGTGCCGCGTTTCCTCAAGTTCATCCTGTGCTGCGAATTCCCGTTGTACGACTCCCTGGACGTGAAGCCGAGGTCGGCCGTCACCGAGTCAACGTCCATCAGCCTCGCCGCGTCCACGTAGCTGTAGCCACACGCCGGACGACCGAATTCAGAGTCCGGCGTGCAGTCGACGGCAACAGCTACAACCAGTACAGCCCTCTGAGTGTTACCTTATCTCTCTCTGCGGCATCGAGCATCCCGTCTATCCGCTGACAAAAATATAAACTCCCGACGGCCGAATCGCAATTTTCCCAATCCGATGTTCTATCAAAGGCACGATATCGGCATTTCGAGGAATCATACGAAACTGTACTTGGGTCGAGCGTACAAAGTTCGGTGTATGGAAAACCGAGAAGATCCCTCTCCAAGGTGGAAAGGCTTATAAGACAAAGTGTTATTATTTTTGTAACTAAAAGCCCTTTCCGGCGTTAGGCGTAAACGGTACCGGCGACTTTTCGTACAGAATCGAATGATGAGATGAACAAAGAAAATTATTTTTGTAGCGACGTTATATGGGTACCAAAAGTAGTTTTACCGACCAATTCGAGCATCGTTTCTGTACGGCAAGTCGACGGTAATGATTTGATTAGCGGCTTTATTTATCTACGTATTTAAACTCTTATTTTAGATACAAGAAGAAAGATTGAAAATGATATATAATTTGTATGTCCTAAATAATATTCAGGCTTAAGAAGAACTCTTAAAAAGCGTCACTATATTCAAATTAGTCAACCGCTACCTGCACTTTAAATTGCATAAATAAATAATATTATATATTGTCCCAAGAGAGTAGTTCTTGCGGAAATAAATTAGGCAGCCGTTTACCGCGCTCGCTGTCAACTAACAAAAAAAAGTATGTGTCTTAAATAGCAGAAACGAAATTTAAAGCGAGATTTTAATGTAATACGAATAAGTAGATCATTTATGAAACTAACGGTAATTTATAAAATTGATGATCTGTAGTGGTTGGCGGTTGATACTGTTGGTTCGTTAAAGGTGAAATAATTGGCAGAAACGCGCACAGAGATCGAAAGAGAAACGTAAGTGTGTGTACAGTATCTCAAGTCTCAAGTAACTCGGCAGCGAATAAGCAATATTTATCGCCAGAGACGTCAGGCGAACGTAATAAAACAGTCACGTTTACACTTCACCACGCTATCACGATCGCTATCCATTCCGTTAGTACGTCATATAGGGTGCTTATGAAGAAATTTTAGATGCAATACGAACGTGTCCCGATTTCTTCTGTCCCGAGACTTTCGATCGAGTTATTGAGTCATAGCAATATCAAACATATCTCCGTGCCGAATAGAACGTTCCCAGAATACGAAATAAAAGTGAATTTCGAACGGAAGTCTATAAAGCATCTAACGTAGTAATAATGGTGGAATTTACGACGCGCATGAAACGAATTTCTTCGTGGATAAACGATCCAAATGTTACTTCTCGATACTTCACTGTTACGTATGTCTTCAAAGTTCAGGTAATAAATAATTAGTGATCCTAAATTGGGATTATTGATTGATTGACCCTTTCCCTTACGATCACATTATTACGATTTGCAGCGAATGCATATTATAGTGTTTCCTAAGTGTGGTCCGATGGTCTGAAGAGATTTGGACAGCAGATCGCAATAAACGTCGACAGATTACGTAAAGTTCGCTTCATATTTATAAACACATTTTATTTGTTCGTATGTATATCGTTAATAAATGGTGATATAATAATGACAATGAAATGTATAGCGCCGAGCATAAAACGAGCAGTCATATTATAATAATTATTAATATTCCTCTTATAATAATCTTACTGTATTGAGTGGGCCTACCTACTGTGCTTGCAACGTTATGGTCTCTCTTGTCCAAATGTTTCTTCCATTCTCTAATTTATATTATTTACTCGCACGTAATAATCCATAATAATATGTAACCACAGGTGAAAACATATGCGCCGTCCTAAGTATAAACAGCATCATCCACTAATCTTTTTTTCATCATTTTTTCTTTACGTGATCATATATATATATATATATATATACATAGATGTATGTATATATATATATTTATAATCGTTATCAATAATATAGTAAGCTACTTAAATGTAATATATCTCGTGTCTTCTCGTGGAATATGTTCAGCTGCCGTAGAAAAACTACGCAGCCGCTACGCAGTTCGTAGAAAAAACTTCAATTCCCGTTATACATCAAATTGTCGATTTTCGATGCGTGAAAGACACTTTGTATTACGCAAGGTAATTTTTTTTTCCTTAACACGTCCGAAAAATCGTATATCAATAAAATACGTGTGGGCAGCACAGCGTTTTGAGTACCAAGGGAAAAGAGATCAAAACATTACCTGTGCCTCTTCGCTAAAAGAAAGAAAGAAAGAGGGTATAAAAAGAGGGGAAAAAAACGCAAGAGCTTGGAGGGAGCAAGGAATGGGTGGATAAGGGGACGAAATATTACGACTCTGCTATACACGAATGGCATCTTCATCGCGTATCTAAGTCCGACTGCATTCGCGCGCGCGTCTACATATATACTATAATATACAAATAATAGGTAATAATATGTGCCGTCCATCTCGCTTATCGCGGTTCCTTACCCATTTGTCTAAAAAGTGATCGTAAAAGGCTGCAAATCGTATAGTCCGTACGAAATATAGGAATGAGTGTCGTCGTTAAAAGTAAAATTTGATTGCACGCGCTTCGAGATGATGCTGAAATGCAAACGGGGATTTACGGCCAGGCGGAAGAGCGGATCGAACCACTTTTCCGTACGGCCTGCTCAACTCCATTTGCATTCTACATTAGGCTGTCTGAGGACGTCCGTTGCTAAGCTGGTCAATTGGCGTGACTCGACTCTCGATTCGATTGTTGAAAGAACACGAGAGAAAGAGAGAGAGAGAGAGAGAGAAGTAATTCAGTCAATCGATGACCCAACATTACGTTTTCGCGGATGGACATCGGATTACCTTCCTCCTATCATTATTATACGGTTAGTATTAATATTATTATTGTTGTCACATTCTCTTATTAATATTATTGTTACGTTAACATTAGCGTTATCATTAGTGTTATCGTAATAAAAAAATCTCGGATCGCGTCGATGAACCGGCTATGGGACGCAACGGTGCTTCCTCAGATGGTTTCGATAGACAATCTCTCTCTCAATGATATACGTCGTAAAAAATCTCTCGTCATACAAAATCTTTTAGAAACGTCATTTAACACGATACGAAAGCGAAAGTAAAAACGCGCGATACACGTGTGAACGTATTAAAAAAAGGGAAATTAACGTGAACTAAATTAAAAAGAAGATTGCGTTACGTTGCGCGCAGGACGCAAGGTAACTTATGCACAGCAAGGATCATTTGAGAGAAGCGAAGTAGGAGACGCCTTAGAAGGCGGGGATCGGTATGCCCGTTCGCGCGACTCTACCCCCTCGCTTCTTCTTCTCTTCCTCTCCTCCCGTAACTACTTCTATCTTATAGCGTTAACGCTATATTGCATTTGGCCACTGTCGACAAAGACCCCAGCTGCGTCAGACTATTGCAGTTCGTATATTGCAATCCTACGTTTCTAATGACTTATGAGATAGCCCCGTTTTTTTGTTTTTTTTTTTCTTTCGTTTGTCCTTAGCAGAGCAGAGAAAGGGCGTGTGTGGGTTAGAGAATAGTCGTTCCGGTCGTGTGTGTTTTCGAGTGTGTCAATGTGAAGTAACGCGTGATGCGCATTGAACGTATATAAACGAAGTATTAACATTATACATGAGTCTATTAATATCTATACGTATAAGTAGAGAGCTCTAGTCCCAAACCTCATCTCTTTCTTTTTTGCTTTCTCTCTTACGCACACGTACACACGTACACACTCTCTCTGCCTTTCTCTCTCTCCCTTTCGTTCTTTCTCTCCCCCTTTCTCTCCAGCACACAATCTCTCACTTCCGGCAACTCCCTTCCCTCGTCATCGTTCTGTACGTGCTTTCTACATCGTCCTCGTCTCCGTCGTCGTTCGCATTCACGCAACCACGCTCACGCACGCACGCACGCACACACACACACACTTTTACCGCCAACTATCCCTCTCTCTCTTTATCTCTATCTTTATTCATTTGCCAATACACCTTCGCGACTCTTCGCCTCTTTAAATCCTTGAAACGACTTATTACTTCCCTTTACAACGAGAGACCGCTTATTTGCCGTCCTTCTCTTTTTCTTTGTTCTCGTCAACTTCCTTGTCCTTCTCGACTTCCTTCTCCTCCTTGTCCGCCTTCTCCTTGTCGCCCTCTTTCTCCTCCTTGGACTCTTTGGACTCCTTCGCCTCCTCCTTGCCCTCCTTCTCCTCCTGCTTCTCGGGCTTCGGCAGATGCGTATTCATGTCCAGGCTGGAGCAGATCTCGTCCCAATCCGGGAAACATCGTTCTTTAACGCGCGAGCAATGCCCGACCAAGTTGGGACAGTTCTCGACCATGTAGTCTCGCAGGCTGTACGGCGTGTCTTTGTCGATGTACAGGATTTGAGCGAGATGCGCGAATGCTACCACGTCCATCTGCACAAACCCAAACAGATCGCCACCGAGGGATCAGTTACACAGATTGCTGAAATTGTAGCTCATAATCTATATCTTCTATCAATCTTTTGCGCGGTAGAACTTTCAATATTAAATAAGATATTTTTATCTAATTGTTTTTCTTCAAGTTCAATTAATTAAAACCAATTAATTTTTACTCGACTGGAAAATCGAAAACCATCAAAATTCGAGCCAACAATTGCTATTTACTCAGTCCAATATTTGTGAGATAATTGAAAACAAAGCGACTACCACGAGAGCACCGTTTTGCCACGAGCGGCACTGGTTTTCACCGATATTACCTCCGGCATCAGATTACATGTAACTGAAACTATTATTTACACAGCGAACCAAATATCACGCTGGAACGTACCACCGTGATACGTGACGTAAGAACTCTTGACCGCCGTAGGCAACATGTTAACGGATTTAACGACACTTACGGTAGTCGGCTCGTCCCCGAAGAAGAAGGGCTTGTCGGCGAGCGTGTCCGAGAGCACCTTGAGATCAGTACAGCCGAATTGGGACACTTCCTCCGGACTGTGCACACCCATTCCCTGAGCCTTCACTTTCCTCGCGCCCTGCAACCAATCCAACTACCATCTCACTACAAATGGTCACGATATTTTGTTCTACGATTGCGCTTCCTCGTCGCGATACTACCTCTAGTTAGCACATTCATAGCACATTTATGGCCGCAAGTGGCAATTTGTGCACTCTAAGCGAATACTATGAATGATTCTGGAGATAGCATGAAGTAAACATTGTGATAACGTGTAAGTAGCGAAACTTGGTCGAAGTACAATTCAGACGAAAATAATGTTTTTAGAAATCAGACTTGTTTTAGCGGATATCCAACAAGGTTTGCATCGTTCTAAACTTGCATTTCACATTTATCCTTATATTCCATATTATTAATATCTAATAGGCGGAAACCTCGACCAGGACTCAACTAAGGCAGCTTTAAAGTGATTGCTGGATGAGACTGGCTGTGCGAGAGGCATATTTTTAAATACTGGCAAAAATTGTGCAATGACAAAACTACAGTCAGTATTTACACGAATGCAAACTAGCATTAAAATGTGAGTGGTACATGCACAGCTAATCGAGAAAACGCGAACATACGAAATCGTGCGGTCTCGACGAAATGAATGAGAGAAAAGGTCGAGGGGGTAAAATTATTTTCGCATACAGCATGACCTTAGTTTTTAATAATGGTGGAAATAATGTGGAATATAATTATGGAAATATGCAAATAAGTCGTACACGAAAATACGTATATAGGTGCGAATAAATTATTACGGCTGAATGGATCGGAAATTGTGAAATGTGAATTGTCATTCAGTGATTTCTAACGTCCAAGTTGTATGCTAGGTCACACCGAGATCACAAGGCGAACGACAAAGCGAAGCTTACCTTGCGTCCGAACGTGAGCTTGAAGAAGAAGTTCAGAATGGCGTTCGGGATACGCGATCCCAGGGCGAGCTGCAGATTGACCTTGTAGCCCTTCAGCACCTGATCCAGGTTCTTCGTGCGCCAGCACGCGACAACCCAGACGAGGTGGTTCTCGATCATCGATATCATGGCGTGGGAGACGCCTCGCTGCTCGGACGTGAGACCGGCGTCCAGGTCCTTGCCGAATTTCTGGCTTAGTTCCCGCAGGATGATGGTGCTGTCCGCGATCTCCTCGCCGTTCAGCTCGACGAACGGCAGCTGGCCCTTCTTGGAGCGGAATTTCATCTTGTGGTCAACATTCTGGAAACAACCGAATAAGACTCAGTCCTTTGCCAAAAGAAACGACGATATAATAATAAAATAAATTGCAACATAATATACGATAAAATTACATTTGCGATTCCAATGACTAAATATCAAAAACGTAATCCCTAGAATACTGACGTAACAACTTTGTGCGAGATCCAACGTAAAACAAAAACATATTTCGACGCATCGTGTTTATATTCGTTTGTGCAGCTTGTTTCTATTGTGAATCGCAATAACGCGCGAAATTCCTTTTAACTTGAACAATTTGGGATAAAATTGCGGTGATATTTTTTTTTCTCTTGAACCGGAACCTAGAATAAAATCGTCCCGGATCGATCGGCAATATTTGTGCTTGTTATTCCGTATTGTAAAGCGGAATGTTGTGAAACGCTCTATGCCGCGATTCTTCCGTAATAAATAATAACGCTGCATCGAGACGAACAGGCATATACCCACACTCTCGCGAGGCACATGCTCTATTTATAGACGTACGTAGCGCGTTAAACGCATAAGTGGGATATCGCGGCTTTCACAGGTGAATCAGCTTATTACATGTAATCTGCGAACGTTTCACGCGTTGATATACGGGGTGTCTCGGAATCATCGCTTGACCGACAAAAATTCATTGAATTTGAAGTATTTCTTTCTTCACGATAACTTAACGTATTTCTAGCGTTATATACGACACGAATTTTTTATTATTAATATTCAATTAGTTTTGAATAAAGTTTCTATTAAGATAACTTAGCTCCTCCTAGAAGTTATTAAGTGAGGAACGAGATCTCGTGTCGAGATACATATGATTAAAATTCAATTTGTTGAAAGTGCTCCCTCGACGAGAAACAGTTTCTTAATTTGTTAATAAATTCTCGTCGGCATAAAGTCGATTTTAAATTCATTACTCCGCTATTTTATTGGGAAGCAGACTGCGACGTTCGAGAGGACGAATTTAAACTTGAATTTCATTACACAATTTAAGATACAGCGTATATAAAAATAAAACAGATTTTATCCCAATGTTCCAAATATTACTGTCTCTTCTCGCTAATTAGAGAAAGATTAGATCTAAATGCTATTTGTAACAGATACACTTTCCACGCAATGTAGTCATGACAATATAATATAAATTAACATTAATTAAGTGTCGTTTTATCATCAGATTAGGACAAGTGTCGTTAAACCTGCTGGGTGAGATTTTAGCGTGACATTGTACCTGAACGGAGCGTGTCTTCTCGCTCGCACGATTTGCCATGTGGATCAAGTGCCTCGCGCTCGTAAAATACCGAGGGTTAGCGCCTTCAAAGTCAAGCCGAGAGAGGAGCGGATTCGCCGCGGTGTACGATAACGCGTCTCGCCCCCCGAAAAAACCGGCTCGCCGGCACGCCGAAATGGAAATGAAACGGAAGAGCAAATCGCACGGAAGTTCGTACAGGCGAGAGGGAAAACGGGGGGGAGGGGAAGAGAGGATTAAGGGACGCGTGCGAGCGCGGCGTGAGAAGTATGCGCGCGGAAGAGCGACGAGGCCCCGACGAGACGAGGAGGCTCGGAAGAGCGAGCTCGAAGCGCGAACAAAAGGGGCACGGACGCGCGCCGGGGGCCAATTACCGAGCCGAGGCCGGGTGTACGGGGGAAAAAAAAGAAAGAAAGAAAGGGAAAAAAATGAAAAAGAAAAGAAGAGGAAAAACGAGAGGAGGACCGCGATGCTGCGTGAAATTTCAGCCGCGCTTGGAGAAAGCGGCTGAAATTTACGCGGCGCACCACACGCGGATCCGCAACGCGGGTCCGTCGACACGAGGAGGAGGAGTAGGCGGCCGACGTTGTACGTAGCCGGAGATCCATTGCTCCAGTTTTAACCCCTTCAGTCGGGCACACGGCGGCGAGATCGATGAGGGCTGGTTATACAGCCCGCGCATAATACGCGCGTTTGTCAGCTGTACGGGGGTCGGCCGAATGCCTCGCGTATATATAAGCTGCCCGAATGAGTCATCCGTTTGCCGAGCCTCTCGTTCCCTCGATTGTGATCGATATCTTCTGCTTTTTTTCCCTTCCCCCCGCAATTTTTGTTGATTATTGACTCTCGACATCTACGCGCGAGCAAGAACGTAGCAAAAAAATCTGTCGCGTGATCTTTTTGAGATCATTCAACTTTTGCCAGGGGAAGAAAATGTGAAATCAACGCTATTTTCACAGCTCTTGTTCTCGTTACTCAGCCGAGCAATTTTCAATTTTTAATCCGCAATCCGTCGACAACGAAAAGTATAGTCGCAGGGCGGGGTTTTACACCGAACGTTGCCCCGCGCAGAGCACGCCCTCAATCCGGCAGATTTGCGTCTCTATTACATCACGTTTATTATTTATCCGTTACACGTTTGATTCCGATATGATAACGATAATAACGAAGGCGAGGTCGGGGCGGGGTCGCGGGGGCACTGAACGCCCATTGCCCTCGATATAAAATGCACCGGCATCCCTATTACGTCATGTTGTTATTTATTGGAAATTCTCACGTTTTTCGAGAGAACGGCAGAATCGATCAATTCCGGCTGGTAATGACGACAGGGGACGAGAGAATTCCGCAATATCTCTTCTCGACATAATACATATATACGGGGCATCTCCCCCTGCTATATCGTATATTTGTAGGAATTTCTTACTGCCCTTACTGAAATTTTTACGGCATGTGCAATTACCTGTTATTTCAATATTATATTTGTTTATTAATAAGTGGAATTTTCTTAACTTTTTCCGCAATATCTATTATACTCTTCGCGATATAATACACGGGGGTATCCCCGCTATATCGTATATTTGTGGGAATTTCTTACTGCCCTTACTGAAATTT